CTTTCAACTGAATGTTTCAGGAACTTGAGCTGCTGGAGATCTTATCCCGCCATGAGGAGTTTCAGGACGTCATCATCCACAGGGAGGGCTTCCTGGACTATCTAGGAGTGACTGTGTGGTCAGTAATAGTCATACCTCAAGACCAATCTGAGCATGGCAGTCGCTCAAGGACCTTAAACATTTAATGAAGTCTCATGTAGTTCCTAAAGATGTTGATGAAGGCACCAGGATAAAATCTCTGAAGTGTTATTCTCAGTTACTTAAATGAAAGATATGCTATGATCTGAAATGTCTGATTCTCCAGAGGATTTGTCCAGTTGCTTGATTTATTCTCCATGACGTAGTTCTGGAAATGTCTGACTAATTGTGCCCTTCTAGTGGCCCATCCAACTAACTGACTCCCAATAATCTTAAAGCCACTAAAGTGTAAGAAATGGGTTCCAAATCAATGGAGATCCATGTTAAGTGCAAATTTCCTGAGCCAAAATATGTTTATTTTCTCAGGGACTTTACTGAGAAGGCCCTGGAGGAGCTTCAGTCCAAGCCGCTGGCTGTTGCTCACTGCCTGGGTGCACTGAAAGTGTTAGCAGCCTTGTCTGTCCATGGTAAGGGTTGTCGAGAATGTTACTTGGTACATGTATATAATATATAATTAGTGTCGATTAAATGGTTGGCTACCGGTATTTGGGTGGTTGGTTGCCAGCTTACTATTTACATGTAATGTTATAAGAGATCTAGATTTGTGAATTTGGCTACTGGTGTTTAACTCATGCCATCCTCATCTCTATGTAATGTCATGTAATACATAGCTTATCGGCCATCAACACATATGGTGGTTAAAGCTCTTCTGTTCATATTGCCATGTATTGTTTTTTTACAACAGAGTGTAGCAGGAAGACACTTGTTCTGCATGAAGTGATCAGTGCCATTGTCTCTCTGATCTTCAACATCACCGGGCTGTGGATCCAGGAAACTGTCAACCTGGGGCTGGGGACATCTTCACTGAGTAGAGGTGGGCCTTGTTTTTATGTAGAAGTTATGTATGCAGATAAAATATCAGGGTGGCAGGGTGATTTTGTGGTTAGGGTTGTTGTCTGATGCTTTATCTCTATATTTGCAGATGCCAGTGAACAGTCCTCAGGTCCAGAGAACTCACCGCCCCTGTTTCTGAGATGCCCCAAGCCTCTTCCTGCTTTAAATCTGTCAGATACCCAAAATGCCAGCAGCGCCTTTAACCAATCACCATTCAGCGAGGTGTTTGAACCTCTGCAATCACCCCGCTCAGGACCAGTGCACAGAATCAGAAGTACCGAGCATTCCCTCCAACCAGTTAACCTGGAAGGTCGCTTCCTCAACCAATCACAGGGTGAGACACCATCTCATGCAACCAATGGGGAGGCTGCTCAGGAATCATCAGTTGATGAATGCATGGTTACCAGGATGGGTCCTGGAGGACTGCAGTCTCCCAGGAGTGGTGCTGTGCTGATGAAACAACTGACACCAAGAAGTGCCAAGTTGCTGTCTGCTGTGGACCAGTGTTTTATTGAGAGGATGTCAGGAGATGACACAGAGGAAGGGCTCACACATGGGAGTGTTACTATTGGTCAGTCACTTGATTGAATCATATTAGAGAAGCTATCTAGCTGGCCCACAATAGTTCCTTATTCACCAATAGTGTGTAGTCTTGGCCCATGCATGTCTGACTGATTTCTTGGGGTCATGGAAATCAGAACTTGTTTGTTTATTGTGATTACAGTTTTGGGACCTGTGCCTGAGCCTAGTCCTATAAACTTACAAAGCTATATGTATAGAAGAAATCCTTTTGCTAGAACACGGTTCTCATCCTTTGAGATGGAGTTGTTTTGGCACTGCCACAGATGTTGGCTTTTATACTCCATTTTCCTTAGGAGGGGAGGCCTAAGTGTTTGATCCCTCTCCCTCTGACTTACTCCACTAACAGGAGAAGATTTTCACAAGATCTTCCAAAGCCTGATCCAGTACTCCATCCTGGTGTTGAGTAACTGCTGTGGAACACGTGATGCGGACACGTGGCAGCTGGCCAACATGGCACTGACCCAGTCTGGAGCCCTCCACATGGCCTGGTGCGCCCTGTCCTCCTGTCATAGGAAGCTCAGGTACAGTCTCAGGGTAAGTCATGTCTTTAATTCAGATAGAAGCAAGCATTATTGTTTACCTGCCCTACAGATGTATATTGTTTTTCCTACACCACTACTTATGATTTTTAAAACAAAACAAAAAAATACCAGGCAGCAGGTCTTGAAAGTTTAAATGGAATAACTCTTTTCTTTGAAATTGGTTTTCATCAATGTTTTCTTTGCTCACAGCTTCCAGTAGCTTCATTGGTGACCAGGTTAGCCTCAGGCCCTCTACGAACAAGCAGCAGTACTGCAGCTGTGGTGCTGAACCCAGCTGACTGCACCTCAGCACTCATGCTCAGTTCAGACCTGCTGGAGGTACGTGCTCTTGTTACTTCCATTATGAAAGCATAGAATATATTAAGTCAAGATAGTACCTTGTATATTTAAGTCATCACATCGTCAAGTCCCAGAATAGACAGAGATTGTGGCAACAGATGAATGGAGGAGCCTTCTGACTATTGGTATTGTTCCTTTGCAGGCCCGTAACGACAGCTGGACGTTTGAGAGTGTACGAGCCAACCAACCAGTGAACAGGCCATGGGAGAATACCCAGCCCTCAGGGTGGTACTATGAGGTACGGGCTGCAAAAAACAACTTATTACATTCTATAACTTGAAACCTCAGTTCAAGGATTGTTCATTTTGTATGCCCTCTTTTAATTCCATTGGCAACAGAAGTAAAGTTAGCTGGTGTGTTATGCTTAAGGGTAGTTATACCAGCTATACAGATATAGATACAGAACAAAGCTACACAACTTGCTACTGTATGGAATATGGGAATTTGAGTTGAAAATGATATTGAAGGTGCATGTTGTTTTTTCTAGATTGAACTTAAGTCATGTGGAATCATCCAGATAGGCTGGGCCACAAAAGACTGTGAATTTGGGCCTGAGAAAGGTTAGTCCTCTGAAATGACATGCATTCATCGTTGTTTTTCCTGTCATTCATTGATATAGGCATATTGCTATTTCATCATTCACTTGATGATAATTTTTGTATGAAAAAAAGTAAAGGTAGCCCCATGGCCTTTATATTCTTGGTATTCCTTTATCATAAACTTTGAACCAGTTCAAGCAAATGGCTGTTTCCTGGGCTGCAATGTTGATAAGATGTGTTAGTCTACATTTGTGAACCATTGTGAAAACTCTATTGTACAAAAGTAAAAAGTACAAACATTGTGGTTTTATGTTATCTTTTCAGGTATTGGGGTTGGTGACAATGTACAATCATGTGCATTTGATGGTGCCAGGTGTAAAGTCTGGCGGGGACCAATCACAGAGCAGAAGGTACGTATACAAGCTTTGACCAGTTGGATTCCTCCAGTAACTTTGGTTTCAAAATATACTGATAACTGTGTAAATTTTCCACCGAGATTCCTTCCAACATGAAGATTTTCAGGGTCTAATTCCTCCTGAAAATATTATAATATATCAATGGAAGTGGGGGCTATTGCTATACTATGTTTTCTTGGTGTGATTTTACTTACGTTGTAATTCATTTTCCTAGTGGAAAGAATCAAAGTTCCTATGTATTTTCTCTCAGGACAATGAGTACGGAACAGAGTGGCATTCTGCAGACATTGTCAGTTGCCTCTTGTACAGGTGAGCACATTGCTGTACAACCTTAACAGCCCCATTTTATGTGAAGTTAGTTTTTGCATAATTCGTTCACAGAGCAGTTTGATTTTCATAGCTTTCACAAAGAAATCAACTGATTATTTTGTAATTTCTTGGTTTCAGCAATGGAAATATATGCTTCTGGCTTAATGGTGTCAACCTGGGTATAGCTTACAAAGGTGAGGGTTTTCTTCTTACTGGTCTATTATGATCCAGTGTTCGAAATACCTGTCTGCAGTCTGCAATCTGCAGATAGATTTTCAAGATTGCAGAAGAAAAATTTATACAATCTGCAATTTTGCAGCAGCAAAAATTGGCACTTGGGATTTGACACTTTTGGCCCCAAGCACAGACAACACTAATTTGCATCAACCTTGTCTTGACTTGTTTATCTTTTGTTTCCTTTTGGACTTCCAAAAATTTGTCTTCACTAATTTGCACATCAATCAATACTTCATGCTAATAAACCTGCAAGATTGTAGTATGGAGGCTTGTGTATTTGCAGAAAGTATTTCCAAATTGCAGAACAAAATTTTTACTCTTCTGCAATATTGCAGAGCACTGAAAAAAAGTATTTCGACCACTGTGATCAGACTGTGCACTCTCTAACTGAAGAAAACAAGGTTTTATCCACTCCTTATTTTTTTTAATGGTGCCTTGGCAGCCTACAAAACATCTACTACAACACAAGGCTAAGACAAAACATGTCAAAAGTGTATTCCTTTTATTCCCAAATGTCAAGTTCACCACATCTCTATATGTGCTTTATAAACATCTAAATGTTTGAATGTAAAATGATATAACACCCTCCTGCCCAGGATTGGACATGACCCAGCAGTGGTACCCGGCTGCTTCCCTGTCCACTGAGCAGCAGATTCTCTTCAACTTTGGCATCCAGCCGTTCAGGTGAGACTGCCAGCAGTCATAAGGAGATCATTTTCTGTGGAAATCATGTCTGTAGTAACCAGGTTTACATGTCAGAAAAAGGCAGTTCCAGATCATGTGAACATTAGTAAGAAGACTTTTCACACAAAAACCTTGTGAATCTACTGAAAAGCATCCACCATTGCTTGAATTATTTGCCACACATACAATTATATGTGTACAATCAATGGTTCTTGTTTTACATGTACAAACTATGTACTCTTCTCAGATTCTGTCCTCCAGACGGCTTTGTCCCTGTGTCAGAGGTCATGTTACGAAAGGTCAATGCCTCCCACATAATGCCTGCTCCACCTGTGAAGGGCACACAGAAGAGACGCAAGCAAAAGCTGTCCTCAAGGAGGAAGCCTTTCAGCCCCAGGATCTCCAAGGAGAATGGAGGTCTCGCATTTGATTACCGTCCTCAGGCTGTGCAGTGGTGGGTGCCACTGAATGGCATTGCGGAGGAGATAGACGGATCAGAAGAAGAGTCAATAGAGGACAGCACAGAGGTACAAGATGTGATACTATATAATACTTTGCATGAAAATCTGATGATGATGAAGTGCAGCTATTTCTCCTTGCAAGCTGAACTTTACAAAAATACTCTAAAAGTTTCTTTGCAGATCTGGGGTTTTCCATGCCTAAGGTCTCTTTTTCCATGTCTAAGGTCTCTCCTCAGGACACTTAGTAGATTTGTGCAATGTCTTCCTGATCTTGTAAATCTGATGACTCTCCTCAGTTTGTGTGACCTTTATAATTGGAAGCTCTGACTTTTCTTTGTATGTTGTGTTAAGGATCATGTCTTGGATCACCAGACCATAGACCTGGAGGGAGGGGGAGATCCAGAAACTCCCCAGGTCCAAAGTCTGTGGCTGTACTATGAGATCACTGTCTCTGGGCGAGAGAAGAGGTGAGTTAACACTTTTCAGGCAGCTGAAGGCATACAATCGCCTGATAGACTGTGCTTTGGTCTAATATTAAAGGACATGGTTTTAGGGATAAGAACAAGGTGATGTTTGTTCTGATAACCTTTATGCTCATAACACCTTTGATACTTCACATCTACAGAACTGAGGACCTGGAGTTTGGGTTCAGCACCATGGACAGGAAGTCTAAGGTAGGAACACAGACAGGTGCATCTTGAGATGCATGAACCCTTTCTCCACGATATTTATCATAGAGTGGTTTAGTGGTTACCAAACCTGATTTTGGATCACATTGTGGTACGTTACATCCCTGCTCTATTCATTTAATGGAGAATTGATTATTAGCAATGTTTAGATGATGAGTTGTGGAAAGTCTATGGAGTATCGTTGTATTCCCTTTCCCCAGGTGTTTGCAGTGCTGTCCCCACATGGTACTATCTTCCTACCCAGTGGTCACAAAGTCCAGGTAACCTGGGATAGATATTCAACTATTTTCAACTAAAATATACATCTATATGTAGTCTTGTCTAAGTGAGGAAATCTCTTTAAAAATGCACATGTAAAAATGCAGAACAAATTTACCTTGAAAACATTTGTATTGAGACATGACTCCATCCATCCCCCAGTTGCAGGAGGATGACTTCTCTGTGCTGCTGACCCTGGGGTGTGGATTCACTGACAACGGATCTGTTCAGACGGTGGTCTTCATGCTGAACGGCCGGGTTCTTGGTGAGACATATAAACTCTCAGCTCTTTCATGTGTGCAAATGGAATATTAGTAACTAGTCTGTAAGATAAGATAAAGAGCATGTATCATCGTCCTGGCTGGATGTCAGTGCTTGGCACAGAGGCAGGTGGTCTTTTTTTTTTTCATTTGTTGCTATCCATTGTGCCCCCTTCCATCCACAACCCATCTCTGCAAGGTCCTACTTGACAGTCCTAGCTAGTTCAAATCATTGCTTGCTCCCCCCCTTCTTCCCCCCAAATTAGCGCCAATCTGGGAGGCCGTAGCTTAGGCATTATCATGAAGAGCCCCAGCCATCAGTTTTGCCCTTTACATAAGCATGGAAAATCTAGGTTGACCAGAAGCAGAAGGCATTATAATATTGTCACGAAGCTGCCAAGAAATGGGTGTCTATGTTGTAGATTTTTTTTTTTTTTTTAATTTTTTTAATATCTTTATTCAGTAAATCACATACACAATACATTTTAACACTGCAAATTTAAAACGCGAATTTACATCAATACCTGGTTATATACACTTTACGACTATACAGCAGTAGGTGATCTATGTTGTAGATTCCATATCTTCCCTGTCTGACAAAAGCTTAAGTTTTGCTACCAAAGACATTTAATAGTTTCACTTTCCATGTACGTTCACAGAGCCAGAACATCCATTTGAGGAGGATGTAGAACACGAGCCCAAGCTGCCCTACACCAGCTGTCCCCACCTGGACATGAACGTGGGCCAGCGCAGGTTCCTGTACCAGCCGTGCGGCCTGCAGGTCCACCGGCTGAACCAGGCGGCGCTGCTGCACGACTGGCACCAGCAGCGCATGGAGGGCTTCCAGGTGCACGGGGAGACTCCTCCACAGAGAGACTGCTGATTGGTCGTCTGTCCTTTTGCCATTGTGTAATGAGACAGAATTCAAACTTTTGACTATTCTGACAACATTGACATTCCATAATCTTCTCAAACCACATAGTATTGGACAAGAATACTTAGTTGGACCTGTACAACATAAGAGACCAGTATGTCAGGAACAAAGATAAAGCCAAATTGGATACCTACAAATGTGTGGGTGTATGTGATGTTCACTTGCCATCTCAATAAGTTGTGGTTAACTTCTCACATGTAGACTTTTGACATTTTGCTGTCCCATTGCCTCATGTACCAAGAGCATGCAGGGCAGCCTATTTAAGACATTCTCTGTGTGACACTGATGTTGCTTTTTTATTTGGGATTCAAAATCCTTAAAAAATATATTATATACAGTAAGTAATGTTTTTGGATAACAAATTTTTCAAACTGTGTCAGGATTTGGCTCCACTTTGTCTTGGAATATTTTTGTTTGAAGTTTTGTGAGTGTATGATGAATAGGATTGAGTGAAAAGTTGGAGGCTAGTATGTATCTCAGGGCACTGTGAGAAGTATATAATCAGGTTTACATGATGATGTAAAGAAAGGGAGGCTTATTCAAATGTGGTACTACTGCACCTCAAATATCTGTTGACAAAGTTGTATAGAAATTGATTTCTCTAAACTTATGCTGCTATCAATACTAACAAAGGAAGCAAATTGTTCTGGACTTAAGACTTGTGAAAATTACTGTATACACATTCCAGTTTTACTGTAAATGACACTGATCCTGCATGTAACTGGTGTGCACGAACCCTTTCTTGTCTTCTGTTGTATGGAACAACTGACTTCTACCACTGCCAAAGAATTTTACATTTCAACTTGTATATGATCACTGTACTACACAAGAGTTGTACAGTACTAGTGATGTACCTACTTGTACTTGATGAGGTCTTCTCATTGTTGTAGTGAAACGTTGGAAAAATAGATTTACCAGCCTGGCTACAAGCTCAGAATCACATCTGTTCAGACAGTCACCCTCTCCAACTTCCTCAGACCAGAGCATAGTACTAAATCAAAGTAGGTTGGTGTCCAGGAGCTTAATGTCTTCAGGAGCACATTTGTGATGTGAAGATTTTCTTCATGGTGCTTATTGCAAAGTGAACAGTATATGCTGCAGATGTATTTTTTCTACTTACCAATCAAAGCCACCTGAAGTGTGTAGTGTACTACTGCTGCTATTGATGTCTCACATTGGTGAAGTATGAGAGACTGTATTTTGTTTCTAGGCTCAATTGCAAAGAGACTTTTCTAGCTGGTGTGTGAAATGCAAATTAGAAAACTGAAAAAGTTAGTTATTTGTTGAATGGAAGCAGTGTTAGCTGCTAAAAATGTACTTAAAAAAGACTTGTTTTGTATATGACCTTACAGTCTCATTGTGTACTTTATTACGTAGCCCAACCCTCATATCATTGCTTAGATCAAAAAAGTGTGGGTGTATTTTTCTAAGGCCAACATGGCAACTGAATACAACATCAACTAGCACCTGTATTAGGCTCCTTTGCAGACTTGCTGCTCCTCCCCCCCCCCCCAACAAAAATGCCACCACTGCACTAGTTTGCAAAGGAGGGTCCAGGGTGCATAAGAAAAGTACATTTCATAAGGATAAACATATAACGTTACACAGTTTCCTATTGGACATCCATAAAACATTTCAAATATCTCTAATGACAATCAAATATCTCTAATGAACAATACATCATACAATGTAGAGTTTTAGTATAAGTATAACATGAATTTCCAGATTGACAGATAACACCTGTAACATGTAACGTTATAACACCTGTTAGACTAATAATGTTAGTTATAACACAAGTTATTGTGAATATGATACCAGTGTATGGATGGCACATGAGAGTTCATAATAGATGAAGCATGTATATTGATATTAAAGATGTATTAAGGAAAGATGGTAAAGGCAGATAAATTTAAAGGTATGTCCTGACTGGCCCCGTGCGTGTAACAGGTGCGCCCACACCTCCCACTGAGCCCCAGGAGAGCATTCGACCCAAACGGTGGTGTGAGACCAATGCGTGGTAGGAGACCCAGAGGTCATGTTATTGAGATACATGTCATCGCGTAGGTCAACTGTTCTGTGCTCACAGTATTATAAAGAGACGGGGCTTGGCCTGGAAAGTCATAATTTGCAGACAGTAAGTCACTGAGTAGGGTTTCGAGTTAATCGTCTGGATAAAAAAGGCTTGCCATACCTGCGCCGCTCCGACGACCGAAAGTGAGTTCGAAGAGGTGAGGTGGGAGGGGAGCGCCGGATACGCTGTTGGCCTTGGACACCGGCTGTGCTCAACTGAGTTTATTAACTGCAAAACTACATTAGCGATAAGGAGGATGACGATGAGTGTGAGTTAGAACCATTACTTGCCTCCGATAGCTAATCGATTCGGTAAGATTGCTTACCATTCAAGTTCAAGTACTGCACGAAACGGTTTGGACAGAAATATTCAGTGACAAATTATTTACGGGCTGCTGACAGAAAAGGGGCAAAGCAGTAAATGAAGACGACGATGTCGGCCTTTGGTCATTCCGTCTTCCGGCTCTCCAGCTACATAACCCGATCAAGATCAGCATTGAAAAGTCTCAAGTTTGTCACACGGCCCTTGGTACAGGCATGCCCACCAGCACTGAGGAAGCTGCCAGTGATCTGCCCTGCTTTGATCCTGCCAGTCGTCCACGCTTGGTGGGGGTCATCGTCCACTCCTGTCACGCCTACTGTTGAAGAAGGGACCCCTGAAGAGGAACCAGACCCTGTACAGCAGGCCATTGTCCAGGCAGATGAGTTGTATAGCATTGGGGACACTGTTGAGCTGTACCAGTTCCTATTACAGCACAAAGACAGCAGTGATGCTGGGATACTGTGGCGGCTGGCGCGGGCTACTAGAGACTATGCACACCTACCAACATGCAGCCCAGAGGACAGAAAGACTCTGACATATCAAGCGTTGCAGTTTGCCGAGCAAGCACTACACATTGATTCAAAAGATTTCGCTTGTCACAAGTGGTATGCCATCTGCATCAGTGATGTTGGAGACTACGAGGGAACAAAGGCAAAAATTGCAAATGCATACGTCATCAGGGACCATTTCAAGGAAGCCATTACACTGAACCCTAAGGATGCCACGTCCATCCACCTGTTAGGCCTTTGGTGCTTCACAATGGCAGAAATGCCTTGGTATCAGGCAAAGATAGCCGCAGTGATCTTTGCAACACCTCCGACATCCACCTACGACGAAGCACTGGGATATTTTCTGCAAGCTGAAAGTGTTGACCCAGGTTTCTACAGCATGAACCTGTTGATGTTGGGGAAGACATATGTACGTTTGGGGAACACCTCAGCCGCCATGCTGTGGTTAGATAAGGTTCGCAGCTGCCCCTCCAAGTCTGAAGAAGACTCGCAGGCCAAGCTGGAAGCAGAAGAGCTACTGAAGACCTTGGGTGCTACAGGCTGATGCACCACAGATTCCCCACTGCCTGGCAATGCATAGTTTCTGCCAGTGTGCCATCTCAAGTGACTCTCACCATCTTAGAAAATAGAAGATGCGTTTCCTGAGATATAGCACAGTAAAAGGCAAGTTTACATAGCCTCAAGTTCCTGGAGCATGTTGTATCCTGTAGATGTACATGTACAATTCCATCTTGTAGATGTAGATGCATTCTCAAAGTTCTATGTTTTTTCCTCACATTAGTACCAGGAAAGGTAAACCCTTTCTGGACCGTTCCGCCTGTCTTCAGGAGCTGACTGATGAGAGAGATGTTAAGAATGGCAACTCTCAAATCAGAGTGTTAGCTATAACGTTATTAGTCTGTGAGCCAGTCAAAAAAGATAACGGAAGGTGTTTGATACTGAATACAGCTGCAATCCTGATTTCTACATTGCCCTTATCTCATATGTACCTGTGAACAATATGACAACTTCATAACCATGACAATAAGGACATACCGTATGTGATCTAGTTAGTCAAAGTGTACAGATTACAATTTAGGGTCCAGTCACATTAACCATGCTATTGCTGATGGCATTTGGAGATCTACATCAAGGTTGTTTGACAGGCTATGACAAATTTAACTGCACCGTTATCAAATACAATAAGCCCATTTATTGCAGTTACACACCAAAGTTTACTGAGTCTTCTATGCTTTGAAAATAGGCCAACTTGACATGCAGCTCTCTTCCATAAAATCAACTTTCTCACTGTGACTTTCTCACTCACTACACTCAACCTGGTTCTGTTGTGTGCCATGTCACTGGGATACTGTGACATTCAATATCCCTTTCCCACACAGAACACCAGCACAGTCTTATTTCTATAACTGGTTTATTTGTTATCTAACATATTGTACAGTAAATGCACCAATGGGAGGTCCACAGCTGCTATTCCATCCATTGCAGGGAGCAAATTTCACATTCATCTGCTGTCATAAACATTCAGGACTTTACATTGCCACATGATTGTTGTCTATAAAATCTACAATATACAAGAAAATGTCTGTGCTATCTTAAAGATGGCTTGAAAGTAGACTAGGCAGGGGTTTCAACAGGAAATTATTTTCGATGTAACTGGTAAAATGATAATTTTTGCTGCAGTAAACATGTATGACATACTGTCACTGATTAGTCCACATGTGAATGGAAATGGCATGATTCTTCTGCATTTTTTCCTGTTGCAGATTCGTGCAGTATATCAGAATAAAAATTCAGCTCCAAAATGGACTCACATTGAAGACAGATATAATCCTACATTCGATTAAAGACTTTAACTTGGTGGAAAATGTTCAGATGGGTTGAAATCCTGCCCAGCACACCTTCAACAATGTCTTTGTACAGTATACATACATCGTATCTGAAGCCTGTGCTCATACAAACACCTGCAACATTAGTAAGTAGTCATATGAGATTCATCATCAATTAAAACCCAGGGTCAGCTGCAGTTGAGGGAAAACCTTTCTCCAACATGAAGCTACCAGGTACATGTATAACATGGCACAATGTCACTGCTGATACAACTTTCATTGGCCATACCCTCAAGACTTGTTAGCCCCCCAGGTTTACACTGACAAGACAGTGAAGGGCATCAGTTCACTGCCTTCTACAGACACCATAAGGTCTTATAAACTATTTATACACATATATACAGAATGCGGCCTCTTGGACAATCATGATCAATTTTGGCAATCTTGCATTAAGGCACTGTCAAGTCTCAGGCTGTGCATGAGACCTGAACAGGCAGAGATCCACTGAATTATTCCACTCTTTCCACGTGTCTAACAAATGTCTCCCTAAAATAAAAACCTTGCTCTGATGTATCGCCCAACTAACAGACCTGACATAATTTTTACATTAGGATAGAAGATACAGGTGCAGCATCAAGGAACTTACAGTACACCAATGGAGAAAGTGTGGGATATAGTGGCAAGCAAACTACAGCGCTGAAAAATTCTTGACATCATTTTCAACTATAACAAAATCATAACAGCAGTCATAATGTTAGATCTGTGAACATAGCTGCCCTTTTCATGGATCTGACAAATCATTTCCCTCATTTCTAAAGATACATCACTAATACTGTTTGGCATGAAATGTTATGGGTAAAATAAAACTAAGTTTCTTCCTAATGCTAAGTTCTGATTATTCTGTAACATGACAAGCAAGTGTGAAACATATCGAGTCTTAATCCATGTGAACAGCATTACTCTAGTTTGCACTAGTAGCCATAATCAAAGATTCTATTTCAGGAATTCAACTATATTATGATTCTTTTTGTAACCTTGTTAATGCCATGAATAAAAAAAATTAGTTGATAGATATAAGATTGATAACGTGCAAGTTATACTGGTGTAGGCTACATATAACATTATACATGTACCGGGTAAAAGAACAACAAAAAAATCTATGCTTTGCCATATTTCACAGAAATATTTTATGATGACATCTAAAGCCTATAAATGTAACTATCTGTGACCATTCTAACATAAATCCCTTCATGTCTTACATGGCCAGCTATTGCAAAATCTTGGGCCCACTTCTACAACTCTTCTTTCCACAGAAATGGTTGATTCTAAAAATGCTTCCAAAGAGACTTTTAGCATACATGAACATTTGTAACTATGCCCATTGTTAGTAATCAAAGGGAAGATAGTCTCAAGTCTCTTCCTGGAAAAACCTTAAATATTTGGCTTAGAATGTCTTTTGCTAAAAAGTACAAGGTCTGCATGGGAAAATTTGCCAGTAAACAGCGACATATTTCTACAATGCAGACCTGTGAGATAAAACTGGCTGACATCTTTTTGCACATCCTCAGTAGCTGAATACACTTATAAGAAGAAACATATTTTTCCCCACTATGCACATAGCCAGGCAATCAATATAGCATATGATCCAATGCCTCCCTAACAGCATTTTCTTCTGACACTTCATTCATTCGTGTACATGAAATAGTACTGTAGTAGCCACTCTTTTTATCATCAAAGTGCCATGAGACACCATGCACAGCAAAAGATGGTTTGAACCCTCCTAGTGCTACATGAAAGCAGCCAATCTTGCTGACTGTACCACAGAGGGAGAGGAGGCACTTCTTCCCACTCCATCTTAGCCAGCATTGAGGGCGGCTTATCTGTAAAACAAACAAAAAAACATTCTCTATCAGACATACTGGTATTCAGAACAAATACCATTGTACAATGTACAATGTATACCTTAGACTTGTCATCAAATTGTCATCTTGGTTGAGAAGGGAAGTCACTGCAGGTTAGCAAGTACTTGAGGAAAACTACTAATTACTAGTATCAGCGGACTGGTCCATTGATCCATGTACACAAAAGTCACCAGAGATGAAAAGCAAAATGTATGCATACCAGGACATCAATCAATGTACCTATACTGTACCAGTACCTGTACCAGATGTTGCATTTAGCTACATAGCACTATTTGCCAGTCTTCAGTCTTGTGCTGAAAAGGCCCCATCACAGCACCTAGGGTGACTTTTCAACAGCTAAATTTATCTGTTTTAAAACATATGTTAAAACACAGTCTTGCACATTTCATTCAAGAATAAACATACGTCTTACTCTGAATTAGATTATTGATATACTGGCACATGGTGCAATTTATAAGTTAAAATTGGCATGTGCAAGCTACATTTGGAAATGAGAGGTTTGTGCCAGCACAAACATACAACTTACAAGAAGTGTAATGGGATCTTCAATATGCTGCAGGGATCAAGGCTCTCCTTGGCACTAATGGGTTACTATATCCCTCCCTCTACCTGCATTTTCATCAGGGTCCAGAACTAAGATGCTAGATTCAAAGCCTGAACCTTTGTGATTCATAGTGGGAACCTACAAAACTGAAGAACATTGCTATACTGATTTATATATCCGGTAGACCATTTTAAAACACAATTTTACGTAACTATTCTGATATTGAACTTGTTGAAGACTGGGTTGCTGGCCAAAGATTTCAAGAGGTACATTGTACACTGCTGTGACATACATGCTATGAATGCACAATGTACTTTACATGTAATGCATACTGTAGGAGGCTGCCTGGCAGTACATGTACCTGTGCATGTTCACTGTGAATTACCCCAGAGGCTCACAACCAGCTTTCCAGTCTTTGACATTCCAAGTCAGCCATACTTGTTGGAGGTGAGGCCCACATGACCAGAATACAGGCTGTGGGATAAGACTTGGGTGGGGAACTTGGAGGAATGATCCACCATATTCCCTTTCTTTTACCAGCACCTCAATAAACCTGGAGCGTCACAGATTTGGCAAGTTTAATATGGATCTTCACCGTTGCACCGATTATTGTTTGTTTTGTTACGCATAACTGGAAAACTGCCTTAAACCATAACACACTAGTTCTGTACAAGCTGTGTAATGCCTGACAGTAAGGTCTGTTCCCCTCACACCAGTATAGACTCTTTGTGATAAGTGTGGTGGTGTCATGGCATGGCTCTCCTCAAACACGGGACCTTTGGATTTACGTCTCATTTACGTCCCATTATGTCTCATGAAGGTGATAATGACTGTGGCCATTATCACCTTGGCACCTTAGTCAAGTGAGGAAATAAGGTGAATTTCTGAAGGGCAAAACACTGAGGCCTGCCAGGGATTCCAACCCAGAACCTTTAATTTTAAAAATTAAATCCTAGCTAGAGCCCTGTCCTAAGTCAATCTTAGTTAGGCTCAATCCTAACCACACAACTACCTTTTCACCTACTCACAGCTATTAAATGGTGTAAAATGGATGCTGCCAGCTGGAAACATATCAAGGTTTGACAATATGATACTAGTAATTGGACAGACTGTCACCAACATCATATATTATAGTATAATGCTAGACGTAGATATAGTCTCACTTACCACTGTATTTTCTTTCTTATGTTGTTTGTAACTGCAATTAGCCCTCAGGCAAGTATTTGCAATAAACTTTCATATTATATTCCTTATCAATTTCAAACATGCTCCCCATTTTGTTTTTTTCTTAAAGTTCCCTAAACTTTCCATAACGACCTGTCAGTGAGTAGAGATTCTGGAGAAAAAACAAGCCTGACTGGGAGGAAACACCAACATATGCCTGGCTCAGTCCTGTATACATGCCATGAATCATACCTGACAGGGGACAGCTCAAGGGCCAGATGAGAAAGATTGTAACCAGAGGGAAGCAGCAGATGGCCTGACACAACACACACCGAATGACCTTGCCTGTCAGTCCAAGATGACCTTCAGGGGATTACAAAGCTTAATGTCTTACCAGCGGCTGCAGTTTTCATCAAATGCAGTCAACTGGCAGCCATGTTTGGCATACATTTAATATTCTTACCTCCACCAGCCAGACTCAACAAAGGTTACATTTGAAATTTTGAACATTTGTGTCGGTGTTTGTGGGCTGCATGGCATAGTGAATACAGACAGTATACATCTAACTAAAACATTTGAGAATTTCCAGATGGAAAATAGACCCTGGCATGAAAAAGATTCTAATGCAGAGTCTAAAATTTTTGTTTCTACTGGACTCTAAACAAATGGCATATAGCCTAGGCTGACCTAGTTTGATACAATAATCTTTTATTCTATGCAATTAATACGGTAACGTCAAAAAAACTTCCCAGGGCATTTGGAATAACCGGACAGTGAGTGAGTAGATCATGGGCAGAAAGGGTACTAGAAGTCAGAAAACTGCTGTAAATTTTATTTTCTTGGTGGTTTTATTTTGCAGTAGCTTTTTAAACTCTCTGTTGAAACAATTCTGTAGTCCTGTTGTGAAGGTGGACATATTCCAGTGTCCTGGTCCAACACGAATACTGCAAAAGTGAATCCACCACAAGAGTCCCAATACCCTTTTCCTGCCCAAATATCTGCTTGAAGATTACTGCAGAGATTCAGCTGGCTTTCTGCCCAGGCTGTGTTGATGGGAGGTTTACTGGTTGTCATGGTGATGACAAGAAATTTGGATGGGGTCTAATTAGTGCCATGATAGTGAATGCAGCTGCATAAACAGGGATAGTTCAACTCTTATATCCTGCCTTTGTGAGAGTAGGATTTTTCCACAGAAAATGGATATGTTTCATTTGACAACCCT